GAATACTTCATGGAGCAGAAAGAAACTATTCTGTTACGGAAAAAGAAGCTTTGAGTATTGTTGCTTCGTTGAAACATTGGTATGTGTTAGTTTTAGGACATGATATTATAATTGTGACGGATCATAAAGCTTTATCTTTCATAAATACTTCTAGACTTTTGAATGCTAGACTGTTGAGGTGGAGTTTTTACCTCCAACAATTTTCGATAAATGTGGAATATCGTCCTGGTTCGGAAAACTATATAGCAGATACACTATCTAGATACCCTGAAGGGAGAATTTGTATAGCAGAGAGACCGTGCGCTAATAGCTTTGAAGTAAATGTAATTGAAAACAATGATCCTCATACCTGGAAAAAAATAAAAAATAATATTAATTACTTGCGAGAATCACAAGAAAAAGATAAATTTTGTAATGCGACTATTGCGCAGTTGAATGATCTTCATAACACTAGGAAAAGGATTACGGATTGGTTCGTTATGAATGAAAACTTACTATTTCGACGGAATACTGATTGTTTCCCAAGTTTTCGGTTATGTGTTCCGAAGGTTGAAATTATCGAGTTAGTTATGTCACACCATATACAAAATGGTCATTTTGGTGCAGATAAATGTTATTTATCTCTCAAGAGAGCTTTTTATTTTCCTAAGATGCAGACTCTCATAAGAAAAATTGTGGGAAGCTGTGAGATTTGTCAAAAGGCAAAGATTTCGTCGAAGTGCGTTGGACGAATGCATCAGTTATAGACGGACCGAATGTCATGATAAGTATTGATTTAATGGGTCCTTTACCTGTTTCTAGAGGAGGAGTAACCCAATTATTCGTGATATTAGATGTATTCAGTAAAAGGGTGTCTTTATATCCTTTGAAAAGAGCTACAGCAAGTGCCGTTACTAATAGTTTAGGAAAGTATTTTGAGAATGTATCAAAGCCAGAAATAGCGTTATCAGATAACGGTACGCAATTTTGTAGTAAACGTTATAAAGATTTTATGGATGGTCATAATGTGCACATAGCACACACATCCTATTATTTTCCACAAGGCAACATGGTTGAGCGTGTTAATCGTGAAATTGGTAGGCTATTGCGCACTTACTGTCATTCACAGCATCAAAAATGGGCTCATACAATTAAAATCATTGAAGGTTACCTCAATAGGGTCATACATTCAAGTACTGGTTTCACTCCCGAGGAAATTCATTCAAATAAAGTCATGGAACTCAACGAATTAGGTAAAATTCCCTATCCTGAAATTGTCCAGAAGGATATAAACATAATTTTGTTAGCCAGGGACAAACTTTTGACACGAGCCGAAAGACGTAAATTGTATTATGAAAAAGGAAAGAGAATTACATCATTTCACGTAGGTGAAAAGGTTCTAGTGAGACGTCATGATACATCTTCTGGTGAAAATAAAGAAATTCGTAAATTCTTTCTGCTGTTCCGGGGTCCATGTACAATCCAGAAAGTTATCAATCATAATGCTTATGAAGTTATTGAGGATTCTTCAGGAAAATCACTTGGAGTACAAAATATCTGTAACATCAAGCCTTTCAAGGTACCAATAATAGATGAGCTTAATTGAATGCTTTCCTGTAACAAGATTCTATGTCATTTGTGTAGATTTAATGTATGATGTTCATTATTTAGAATAGTATAGTTATAGTACAGGTTTTCGGAGTTTTTCCACTTGCAGGATTAACAAAAACATAATCTGTAATAGAGTTTCGAGATTTTAGAGTATTCGAGAATTGCAGGATTAACAAAAACATAACCAGTAATTCTCAACATAATTATTGTATTGAATTGTATGTATAGTATTATTGTCATGTTTTTGTTGGGGGGTTATGTAGCATGTTTGATATACATCCTGTATGATAGGAGGTTGAATTATGTTGGTAGCTAGGTGTCAGGTTGTCAGGTAACGAGATTGATTAGAGAGGGTTTTTAGACAGAGATGTCGGGCAGACGTCTAGAGACGTAAGATTTTCATACTAACTCTAAAAACTACGTTTGTACCCCCTGAAGTTTTGAATAAACAACCAAAAAAGCAGAAGTTATATTCTTTGTGAGAAGAGACTTGTTTCAAGCGTGTCGAATGTCATAAAAAATGGTTTCTATCAGCTTTTCTAGTTAAATCACTTTCCCGCGCCTCGCGCGTTAAAATGAGCATTAGGTCAAAGTAGTAAAGTTCCTCATTACCACCAAAATCACGTTGGAGTTACTGAAATAGGTGAAGTCATGCAACAAGAAAACTTCACATAGCTGGTACTTGAGTCCATGTTATATTTTCCGTGAGACAACTACTCGCCAGTAACGTTTGTAGTGGGTGGGAGCTGGCATATGGTTGGCTGTGACACAGTAGAGAGCTTACAGAGGCAGTAGGGTCACTTGGCGTCGGGACCTTTGATCTTCGTGGCATACGTTTGATTTTTTTTTCCCAGTGCGCATCGACTGCGCGTCGACAGAACTTGTTGTTCTGTGGCCGAATGTCAACTGAAGCGTAATATACGAGGCGCAATCTTAGTCCACAATTATACGAGGATGTTTTTTTATTTTATTTCCCACGAGGAAACAATCATGAAAAAATATTGAAAAGTGCGAACAGTTGCTTTTGTCTTTTAACGAACATGATTTATAAATTCATTATGAGGTAAATGAAACACCACAGTTCTATGAAAACTTTATTATGACTAAAGAAAAAGAACATAATATAATGTTATAGATGGAACAAAACAATTTAAACTGAATAAAAGTACAAATTCTACATATTTTTGAGAATAACCAATTTTGGCTTCATTTTGTTAGTTGAAATTGGTTTCAATTCCCTGTTTGCAAATTGTATAGTATAATAATATGTCCTAACACGTATGAACAATGAAAGTAAATAATCTTCTGGAAAATCTTCACATGGGTGTGAGAAGCTTATGGATGAACATCTCTCTTTTAGTCTATGTCCAACCTTTCCACCAATACACTCATCAAAATTTGACACGAATTCAGTTTCTAGAGAAACAAAATAATTCAGAAATTCATCAGGAGGCATTTTCAAGTTACCAAAAATGTCTTTATTCTTATTTTCATATGCTTTGAATTGAGAATATATATTAGTTTGATCTAGTGTACTTTTAGAAGATCCATAATCAATGCATATTTCACATGGATGTTTTTTTCCTAGCATTTTCTCATCAGGTACCCAGCCACATATGTAAGACAATTGCCTTCGGCGGTGGTCTCAAGTCTGAAAAATCATTTGTGTCTACTTTCAAAGGAGAGTACGACTTTTTAGTGTTTAAAAGAATTTCATAATTTTTCAAAGGTACTGTTGAAATTGTGGACAATATTTCATCAAAATCTTCCAAACAGTTTGAACCTTCCATAGTTGATATAAACAATAATTGCACTCATCACAGATCAAACTAATACTGCACCAATACAATTCCAACAACAATAGAACGAAATTCACAACTGCAATAACTTTATCACTCCTTCAATATTCACTCATTACTAATGCAATTCTATATCGTGTATTCCTTTTATTCAAAATCAGTTACCCACAATATAATCAACAATGGATAAATGGATTACCAGAAACAGGCAATTTGAATCAAATTATGATATGATCATTGGAAATAGGTAACTAGGTATATCCATAACGAAAACCCCAAATGGATTATTGGGTTCTGAAAAACAGGTAAATTCATGTTGAATGCTTATTTCCATATTAATTTTTCAAGTTCAGTATCTTTATTATTATTTGATTATATATGATCAATTTGTGATTACAAACACAGAATATTTATTTGATTAGGAGCGATTAGGACTTCCTTAGGATTCATGCATGAATCAATGTTTCATTTATTAAGATCACGACTCACGATATTTTTGGGACACAATGTAAACATGGTGCTGAGCCTCTCTGTACATTCGTCTGGCTCGACTGAGCTACTGCGCATCGACCGAGAGTTTCAATGCAGAAGTGGGGACGCTTGCCAAATTTCTGTGGAAGTGAACTTACTGCCTCTGTAAGCTCTCTACTGTGGCTGTGAGGTGTGTCCGAACCATGAAGCAGACGAAGAAGTAGAAAAAGATGAAAGAAGAAGAAGAAGCAAGGTGGGTGGACAGGACAGCGCACAGCTGTGATGTTAGTGTTATCTTCTACAAAACAATAACACTGTATTTATCATATCATCTGGAAACATATCGAGAACTTCAAGATGGAAGGAGAGATCATAGCAATTCCTATAGCCATAATCATCATTTAAGAATCATTGCTACTATCGAAGATTACCAAACAGTGTGCTGACCTCCCTGGGTCTGGTCTGTCATGAATAGCTGAAATTCACTGATAAAGGAAGGTAGGTTGGTTCACGTTTTATGTATCGTATATCGTCATAATGATTCATTTTATTTGTTTCAGGTTTCACGAGAGTGTTATTGCTTCAGGTGACCAGGAATCATACATATATCAAGTGGGTTAAATGATCTATCGTTGTGATGTATCTAAATACTTTCTTTCTTTGTTCTTAGCATAGAAAAAAATGTATGTTTTTTCTAATTAGAACAAATAAAACACTTAAAAAAAATAGTTGGGATGATTCAAAATAAATCTTTATGCAGAAATAATGGTCAATTTTTTTTTCCCAGTGGGCGAGTGACAATATTCTCCCATTCCTTATAAAAAACTGTAACATTGTAAAAGTTGAATATGAAAATTCGTAGATCTGGTTTGGCACTATTCGCTGACCATGAAAAAAGAATCAAGCAATATTGTGGATGAATATGAATATTGGTCCCGAAATAATATTCTTCCTCACGAAATTCACTGAGTAATATTTAAAATGCTTCACAGTTATTTCGGTTACCAGTTTTGCCCGATTGTTTGGATATTTTACATCACTCACCGTTTGGCACATTGATGTGTCACGAGATTTGAACATTCTAACGATGATTTTTGTTCCTACTGTGATTAATGGTTCACTTTGACATTAATTTTTCAGAGTTCCATATAATGCATTAGCAACGACATTTGAAGAGATAGAGAATATTTCTGCGAGGTTGAAGATCATAGAAATTCTCAGCAACTATTTTAGATCTGTGATTGTCTTAACACCAAATGATTTACTACCGAGTGTATACCTGTGTTTGAATAAACTAGCACCAGCATATGAAGGTATGTGTAGAGATGAATACAATTTAATTAGTGTATTCATTGCAATCATGGCCTATTTCACGAAAACTTGATATCGCCTACTTTGATGAACATGATATCGTGTAGTAGTAGTACATATGTATATAAATTTTCAGTGGAAAAATTGAAATGAATAAATTATCAAATAGTACTGTATATAAGGAAAATCCTAATTTCTAAAAGGATAATATTTATAAATAATAATCGAAGAGCAGTAGTAGATAACGGGAGAAAAATAACACACAGGATAATTCCACGCAGGGCATTGAATTGTATCCTTCTGTCGTATGAATGGATACTAATTGGCTAATTTTTCTGTCTTAAATTTCGATTTGTGCTTGAATTGAAGTCAGGTATCGCTAAACTACCTGCGGAAAGGTTTCGAGCTATATGGCCTCATCAGTTCAGGGCAGTATCTAGACGGCTATCCTAAGCAAAAGCAATCAACCACACTTTTCTCTAACCAAAATGGGGTTTTGTTTTTGGAGTGTTTCAGATGTCGCTCTTAAGTCACTCTTGGACGCGGCTAAGCAGATGAATGCCGGGCTGTGTTTTAGTTGCGTATGGTATTTGCTTCAGACGGAGATTTTCGGATTGCTAACTGGTAAATGCACTGTAATGATGAGGACCAATAGCCGAAACCACATTGCAGGTTGTTAGGCGGTACTTGACTTGGCATCTAGGAATGATTGTAAGCATTTCGGAAATATAAAATCATATAATGTAATGGGGTTATTAGTAATTTTCTATTCAATAATTTTGTATTCTCATATTTATATATTATTTTGGAGGTTGGGTATTAGATTAATATTGTGCTAAATTTCCCCTTATTTGTATTTTTTTATTTCTGTTACAAATAAGAGACGATTATTATAATTATCATTATTACCCAGGAAAGTATTTGTTTTCATCCATTATCTATCATAGTTGTGAGATAAATTGAACATTTTGGGAAAATAAATTTGCGTTTTTCAAAGTTCAACTGATAATTCCACTTTGAGAATTTTGGATTTTTTTTAGTTGAATCAAAAGACTAACTATATTTCATAAAATTCGTGAACAAGTGATGAATATATTTTCCATAGAAATAATTTTCGTCGCTTGACATTATCATGACTGAAAATATTTGTCACCACTAATAGAGTACGTCAAAGGATTATGTAAACATAATGTTGAGTAAAATTAACAAACATCTTCGGACAGATTAACGAATACTCCCTCATCAAATTCATTAGTTGTATGAAATAATTTTCAGGCTATAGCTCATAATCTTTCGATGACCTCACATGAAGCCTAGTAACTAACGTTACATTTCCGATCGCTTGATCGCTAAACTCAAACGAAATCATATCTTGTATACCGTTCGCATATTGGAGTTCTCTTGCGAAAAATTGGGTGTTCTTCCATCGGAGCCATTAGGCTTGTCACCGAGACAGACTACACTGGCAAGACTTGAAACTTTGTGTGACCCGAGACAAGCTGTAGATCTGCCATTATTTCATCGCTACTGTCGTGACCGTGCTCTGCAGAAATAGCTGTGATTTCGTCTACTGTACAGACTTTTGGGCGCATAACGCGAAGGGCACACAATCAACTGCAATTAACATTGAAATTCTTGGTACATCGTCAATTTATAACTCGTTCAAGGTCACCACCATGGAACTCTCTTTGTAAACGTATTTTCCATTTAATTTCCAATACAGGACTCTTCACAAATAAATATAAAGAAACTTCATTTTTACCTCTGTGAAGAATTCTTCAGATAGAGGAATGTAAAATTAATTCATGATTTAATAAATCTTTAATCTACTCCTCTCAAACAGAGTTCAAACTTAAGGCTCTATCAATCTCACTGTTTTGCACCAGTATGTCTAATAATTTCGTTTTGTAATCGTATTCCAATTATTGTACCTAATTTCTAGGATTGGAATTGGGCATAGCAGATATGAGTTTAATGAAAGCCATTGCACAGTCAACCGGTAGAACCCTGGCTCAGGTCAGATCCGATAATCATGAAATTGGCGATTTAGGACTTGTTGCTGAGAAATCGAAAACCAACCAGAGAATGCTGATGAAACCTGCAAGGTGAAGTTATTTACAATTCAAATGAATGTGTTTATCTAATAAATAATATAATCTAGTTATTCTGCAATAACCTCGAAAGTCATTACCTTCGAATTATCTCACAAAATTATTTCATGGCAAAAACAACGATGTGTATGGCATAAATGAAACTCCACAAAATCATTTACTTACATCTCTCATAGCAGTCATAGGAAGTCTTGAATCATCATTAATGCACTAGTTTGGAATAATTGTATCAATAATGCAACCTTCATCTGGGAATCCATATGTAACATTTCAGGAATTTTGAATGTATTCAACATTCACCAATATTTCACAAAAAAAATCACAAATACGGTCTTCAAAAGTAAAGATTTTCAATATTTGCTGATGAATTATTCGATAATCAGACAAGATCAGCTGATCACAATAAATCCCTTCTAGAAATATAATAAATTTGGCATCCGTGTAATGTTTCGCCAATTAAAATCGGTAACGCGGTTGACCCATTCCGAAACTTACTCTAGTATTTTTCGTGCAGTTTTAGCACGACTTATTTACTAAGTATGAAGAAATTGTCTGAGGAACGTGGAAGAACCATACATCACATTGTCTTTCCGTAGAAGAATATATTGAATTTTCCACCCCAGTTTTTATATTTGAGATCGAGAATGGTCCTGAATACTTGCCTAATATTGAAACACAATCTTACTTTGACTAGAGTGCCTCGAACATCTCATTTCACGTCCTTGAAAGATATTAAATAGCTGAACAAAAAACATGAGACACAAATATGTTTTATAGGTGATGGAATGTGATTTTTCTGTACCCCTTCATTCAACGAGTGCAGGCATATTATTGTTAGAAACCCTCACAGTGGCACAACACCAAAGGCACATCTATTTTATCAATATAACATCATTGAATGTATTTCCATGAAATGCATATCGGAATTTGAAGCTTTGACACTTGAAACTTCTTCTCGCCTTTCGGTAACTCAAATATATATGGTAACCATCATTCTTAGAACTTTTGCAATCCGTTACCGGACAAAACAAATTCGAAAACATTTTCGCGGACACACCTATTCAATTTTCAAAAGTGACGTTTCAAATCTTCAGCCTAATTGATAATAATCGATTGTTTCAATCAATCATTTTGCTGCCAGTCAACTGCTGACCCTTCAGTTCTTTGCAAAAGTAGCTCAAATTTAATGAACTTATTGATATTTTCTAATTTTGACATATAATTTAAAACTGACGGGAGTTTAGAAACGTCTTACTTAAGGTCACCAGTTGCGTAAAGTAAAATATTACCGAACTGGTGATTAAATGTTCTTTTCAACACCAGTAATGTAATACAAATATGGATGGACGAAGAGAATAGTGCATTTTGTGCTGCTTCCCCGATATCACTTGGGAAATCTGAACTTGAATCAACCATTTTCTACCAATGAAGATATCAAACGAGTCTATTTCGTGAATTTTGTCCATGATATGTGACCATATTATTATGTATGACGGGCGATGCCAACTTGCCTACTAAATCCCATGTAGAACTGTTCATTATTTCTGCAAAATTTTTCATCGAAATCAGATGAAATCGTGTACGTAACTAGTTAGGAAACTATTTGTGTAACTCTGTGTTTTGCGGAACAGAATACCAAAAATCGAATGAAGATGGCAGATTCGATACGATCGTGAAATATAATCTCCCTGCTTAATGTTTTTGAGTTTTTCATTCGTGGTGCATGTAGCGATTCAAATTAGACTGTCAGACTTTACTTTGAGAAAAATAATTAGAAAAAACACCGATTCCCCCAGCTCATTACATATTTACCATTTTTTCCATCTCCTGTATTGAATTCATGTAATGAAAATAAATACATAACATTTTCCCTCAAATTCGTACAAATTTGGGTTTTGAATCTTGCTCCTCAAGGATTCTGGCCAAAAATTCATCAGAAAAAAGATTTGCAGTGAAATTCATTTAATATATACTTATTTGACACCACTGTTAACGTTCATGAAATTATGGTGATTGATAATTGAATATAAAAAGAGAAAGATATGGTTCAGATGGAAAGCATATATACTAAATGATATATCATTAGAAAACTATATGGGTGGCACTTCAACGCCCCAAATAATTATATTTCTCGAAGATATATCACCCACCTCATTGATTCGGAAAATAATTGAATCATCTTGAATATCTAGGTTATCTGTGAGAGGTGTTTTCGAAAAACTGAAAGACATTGCAAAAATGTCAGGACAAGCATCACAGGCGAAAAAAGTGGAAAAGATTCAGTCGATGTTTGTAGCATGTCAAGGTTCCGAAGCAAGATTTCTCATTAGGTCATTGGCTGGTAAACTCCGAATAGGTCTCGCAGAACAGTCTGTGTTACAAGTGAGTATTATCATTCCATTTTCAATATATTTATTGGCTATTAGGTGGTTGAAAGAAAACCAGATTTATTTATTTTGCTGCTTCCAGTTAAATATTTTTAAACACTTTTTGTTGAAGCCGAAATTTTTATGAGATGATGGCAAATAGGAAACTGAATATTTCACCTCTATAAAGTGTGCAGAGACGCTAGCTAGGAAATCGATAAACCTATTCCAGTAATTGGCGAATAATTGTCAAGAATTTGAGCAGGCGCTGGAGGTAGTTGAGTGCAAAATGTGAAGACCGAATTCCACTATTGGATTTGAGTTAAGAATAGGATAAAGATTAATAATACGGATCTTGCTGGTCCATTTTTTGATAGATTTTTTGAGCACATACTATGAAATAATTTTTTCTGAACCGACACAAAAGCCGTCCATTTTAATACCAAAATTAGCTCTTGAATTGACGTTTTATTACGGACACAAACATAGCTATCAAACATCTGAGGCGATCCATCTTACAGTGGAGTGAAGGCAATAGGACAGGACAAAAGTCTTACAGTCGACTCCACCAAAGCTATACTTTATTGTAAGCAATCTTACAGGGACATGTTTCGAAGCTTTAAAGCTTCATCATCAGCATTATATTGTTACATAGGAGTACTGTTCTGGAGGAAAAAAGTTATGTTAACATATAATTCATATTGGTGAAAATATTTTTAAAAAATTATGAAAATATTAAATGGGGACCGCAATTGGGGACCGCAATTATTGCGGAACCCCTTTTTGTTAGGGAACTTTAAATAACATGATAATACGTATTTGGAGCAAATCGAAAAATTATTTTCTGTTCATACCAAACTTGTCTTTTGAGAGTTTGGTATGAACAGAAAATAATTTTTCGATTTGCTCCAAATACTTATCATATTATTTGAAGTTCCCTAACAAAGGGGTTCCGCAATAATTGCGGTCCCCATTTAACATTTTCATAATTTTTTAAAAATTATATGGTAACATAACTTTTTTCCTCCAGAACAGTACTTTTATGTAACAATATAATGCTGATGATGAAGCTTTAAAGCTTCGAAACATGTCCCTGTAAGATTGCTTACAATAAAGTATAGCTTTGGTGGAGTCGACTGTAAGAATTTTGTCCTGTCCTAAACATAGCTATTTTGCTAGGCAACATTCAGTTAAACTTCAGCTCTCAGGAACTAAAAAGGATGTACTAGAGTTCATCAAGAATAAACAACATTGTTATGGTTGGTTATCTGGGTTGGGACGCATACCTGATTTATTTTCGATTTCGTCAGATTTGGCATTTCATACCCATGCTGGAGATATAAATACACCATATTATACCCTAATAACACAAGATGTCCATTGGACATCCGTTTTGTGTCCATTATATGTCCAAGGTGTCCATGGACACATTCTGGACATCCAAAGGATGTCCACAGGCAGCAATCCTATGGATGTCCAGGAAAAGTAATCCATATAGTGTCCATTTCATGTGCTTTCTGATAATGTTCCTTAACACAACGTCCAACTCATGTCCATAAGATAATGTCCAATGGACATCAATTTGCAGTAAGTAGTCCATACACAGTCCATATGATGTACATTGTTGCTTTTTCGTCTCGGGTATCATCGAGATCGTTTGGCTCCATCGCTTGCGACAGCTGTGCACAGGGTTAGCGCCGGGGCCGTGTGATGCCGTCCGCCATTTTTGTTGTTGTTGAACATCGGTGCACGGACAGAACGCCTGAGACTGATGATTTTATTCTCAAATCTAGCGTTTTGGTAATATCCATACAATCCATTCGAATTTTGTGTACTATTCATAATGACATTATTGTTATAATCTGTTTCATAATTTTTGTGTGTGAACGACGAGTGTTTCGTGATGCTATTTCATTCGATCGAAGAACACATGAGTCACTTATTCATTCAAGTGCATGAAGGCCATTATTCCATTGCGGACGTGTTGATGAAGATGTCTAAGGATTTCAACATTAGAACTGGTCTGAAATTGCGTGCCTATCTATACATAATATTCAGTGCAAATTAATGTGAACTTGAGAAATTGGTTCAGATCGATTGTATCAACTGTATCAAACTGGAATGATGAAAGGAGTTACCATAAAAGCAATAACATATTACATTAATATTATATTTCATATTATGAAGATTATTTGTAGTGTTCTTGAATATACCTACTCACATTTTGAAGTAATACCAGAAACATAGATTCTATTTATTGACCAGATCGTCCTATATAAATGTACATTTTATATACTCTAGATATCCAATGGATGTACAGTGATAATGCCCTATGGATGTACGGTATGGACATCCATTAGATGTCCGTTTGGGACTTCCTATGGATGTCCAAATAGGTGGAAAGTGAATGTCCAATGGATGTCCATATGCAGTCCCGTGTACGCATTCTAGTTGTCCATTGGATATCCAGATTGTCCAGACGAGTATGTCCAATGGATGTCCATTGGACTAACTTGTGTTATTAGGGTAGTTGAGTATTTTTGTTTTGATCAAGAAAGCGCCTTCAAGATATATTTGCTCGATCTGTATTTCATTCGTTATTCTCGGGATGGATAACTTGTTTCTGAATAATTACGACAAGCAATAGTTTTTTGTCTCAAACAACGATATTGTTTACCTTCAGTTGATTATCGAGCCCAACACAGTGGAGATATGCTCACTAACCGTACATTTTCCATGGCTTTTTCCAATACCTGGCACTAGCGCGGTATTTGCTATTAGAGCACCTGGTCCTTACACAAATATGAGGTTTTATTTATATTGAAACTACAATTCGAACATCCTTGAAAATTAAATGAACCTGATCTGTTGATGCAAGTAGAATATCACCACACGGATTATTTGTTGCATTGCATACATATGGCACGACATTGGTGGTTACTTCACATATTTATTTGAGTTAATTCTTTCGATTGCAGAAAAATGTTGAATGAAAAAACATCTATTGTCAAAAAAATAGTTATATAGGAAAACAAAGTGCAAGCTGCAAGTATCTCTTTGAACATGACGGATTTCACAGAAAATCTCCAAAATCACAACTCGCCCTTGAAATTCAACATAATTATAACTGTGGTACGAACTCTCTGCGAGACATAATAGAGTTAAATACTCTCAAAATTCATATTCTTGATGGTATGGCACTTGTTCACAAATTCAGTTGGATAAATTGAAAACTGCAATAAAATTATGCAATTTTTCACGCTGCCTGACGTGAAGACAATAATTGATGTAATAATATTCTATAGATATGACGAAATTCCTATACAATTTTTGGAATCATGTTTACGAAGTAAATGCAAAGTTACAGTAAATGCAAAGTTACTTGAAATGTAATAATTTGAAGTCATTCGACGAACATTCCTGCTGATTGTAAAGCGTTCTTTTCAAGCACTCTCTGCACCAATGCTTCAAAATAAGAACATTCAAGTACATTTGTGCAGGATTCGACGACCCAACAAAATGTTACAAAAGTTACAAGGGTCTTTATTTTGTGAGGTACTTGAATTACAATCAAACCATTTAGAAGCCAATTCAAGGATGTTTTGCCATATATTTCACGCAGTTAGGATTCAATCTGCTCATGTTATGCTGATTCAGATGTATCAATTTGCATTCCCCGTCATATTCTCTTTTATATCCCCTTTCATATTACCTTTCATATAAAAATATACATATTATATTCAATATCTTCCGGAATATTCAACAGAAAACAACTACTTTCCTGGCTTTTTTTATTTTTTTGTCCAAAAGACATCTACAATTACTCGAAATATTGTATAGCTACACTAACCACAGTAAGAATATTCGAAATTCAATTGTCCATTTGTTTTAGTGGCTGTGCTAACTTATGTATTAAGTTAATACAAACAATCCGTAATAACACAAACCAAGAGCACTATATTTTTCAGCGACATATTCTCGACAATTATTATTGGAACTGGTTTAATTGATTTCCTAGCAAGTGGCTTGCTAACTTCATACAGGTAATATTTTCCCAACTTCTGGAGAGAATTGAAAGTGATAGTTATTCAACACAATTATTGTTTTCATCAAGTAGGCTAATTCATATCAATTTCATTCATTTCTGAATAGAAGAGCCAACCTATACTCAAGATGTTGAAAACATATTTTTGGCGAAAATGTGGGAGCCCCTAGAAACCAACATTTATTTTGATAATAATCTTCAGCTCCTTATATTTTCAAACGATGTATAATTTTAAACAGAATCTAAAACCTGAAAGAGTCGGGTTTTAATTTACATGTATGAGTTTTAATCAAGAATGAACAATCAGCAATTAGTTCGAATAAACACATTAGATTCCAATATACTGTACTTTAGGAACTTGAGATCATCAAGAACATTATTTTCATTTTAAATAATAGTACCACTCTGATTCACATTTTATTGCAGGCTTTAGCATTAGCCTGCACAATGACACCTCCTAACCAAGAATATCCTCCTAAAGTATTGAATGTCTCCAAAAGTTTATCAGCTGATTCATTCAAGTCTGAATATGATAACTGCAGTCTCCTACTGAAAACCGCCTATTGGTAAGAAAACAATATTTTCTTCTGATAATCGAATGAGTAGGAAAAAACACTTCACTTCATAATATCAGTCTTGATATTATCAGTCTTCAAAATGTTAATGGGAGTATCAAAAAAAAAAGTTTGCAGTAGAAACTAAACTGATATTTTGATGAAACTGGGTTGGGTTCAACTGTTCAACTCTAGATCATGCATGCAGAGCGGGCAAACGGTCTGGATATATTTGACGACTACTAAAAATGACAAATCCATAGGTTTTTAGGTTTGTCATCAGTTCTGATTCATTTTGATTGCAAATTTGTAGACTTATACCGACACTATACAGAGTAGCACGAAAAGTTTTTTACCAAATCTAACGGGACAGATTTCATGATAAGAAACATTTGTTGCCAATAAACTGATATTTTGGGACTAACCAAAAATGTTTTTTTTTGCATGAAGTGTCTTATCCTCGAGACTCTTGATCAAAATGTAGCAATCATTTCAATTCATTTTATTGATTCCAAATATGGTCAATTTTCATGACAAGTGGACAAGTCACTAAAAAATAAAACCACTACTGAATATTGAGTATAATGACACCAATTATTGTATACAAGATATACAGTCTGTCCAAGATAAGGTTGAACAGCATGGGGATATCGAAAACGGTAGGAGATACGAAGTCGGTTAAATGGGGATAAATGGGGAAAAAGTTGCGTATTCAGAGGCTCATATCAAGAGCCTTCGAAAAATTTTAAAATTATTTTTAGTTTTTGAGATATCGAAAAAAGTTAATTTTTTGAATATCTATTTTATTTTTTTCTCCGTCATTATTAGAGATACAGAAAAACTGAGAATACTTCTTCATAGCAACTTTTGATGACGTTTGACGTGGTGATAGCGATTTTTTTATGCGACGTTTCGTATTCGTAGAACCATCATCAACTTTTGTTTTTCAAATGCGGTCCTGATAATTTTTTCACAGATTTTGAAAGGTCTTTTTCATTCTGAATAGAACCATGTATTATCCAATGTGGTTTATGTGTGTTTAGACCTATTTTTAGCCATCTTCAATGTTTTTTCGAAATTCCAAAGGAAAAATGCAATCAGTTCCACTTATTTTGAAAGAAAATTAGTCAACACACTAATACCTCATTAACTGGTTTCAATTAACAACCCATTTCATTTTGCGGAAACAAAAATTCCATCCATACAAATTCAGAATATGTTAAGCGCTAAAACCAGGCGATGACGAAAGGCATTACATTCTGTGAGTGGTATACCAGGAAGCGATTTTACTAAATATACTGTACGCTAGCACAAACCACGCCCACCGTAATATCTCATCTTCGAAGTACTTAGGCAAAACTCAGAGACTATTTATCCTTAACGAACTAACCTATCCCTGATTGCAATATTTTTGAGGAAGGAAAACCGAATGGAGTGTAGAAACACATTGATTAATAATATATTTCAAAAGTTGAGTTCTTCAACAAAATTGAATAAAATGAGACTGTTTTTCCTGAACGCACTAACCTATTTGACTTCAAATATTTTATGAAAAAGGAAAACCAGAATGAAGTAAAAACACATTGGTGAAAACAAATGTTGCAAAAAAAAGTTCAAGTTCACAGCGATTCGAACCATGGACCTTCAGACTGAAAGTCGACAGCGCTAACCAGTAGACCATTTGGGTATATGAATTTATTGCGTACAAGAGATTGACAACGAGAGAGCTTCAGTCGAATTCGTGTCAAAATCATGAAAAGTGTATTCTTGCGTTGGAGCACAGTATATTTAGTGCGATGTGCTGACTCCGAGTATATCGGTAATGTTTGGAGATATGACGTATTATGGTGGGCGTGGTTTGTGCTAGCGTGCAGTATATTTAGTAAAATCGCTACCAGGAAATGTCAAAATTTTGCAGATTTCCCTCGAACAATCATCTGGACTGATGAAAGCTTGGTCACTAATCACGGTATCTTCGATAGAGAAAATACACATTATTGTTCACGAGAAAATGAACATTTATACATTACAGCGAGACACCAACACCGTTTCGGCTTTAATATGTGGGTTGCAATATTTGGGATACGAATTATTGGTCCTTTTATTTACCATGAAACACAAACTTCCGAACGTTATAGAAATTTGCTTGAGAATCATCTTGAGGAAGCTCTGGATGATTTACCGATTGCGTAAGTTCAGAACTGTTGGTTTCAACAAGATCCGGTACATAATTCCAGAGAAGTCCGTGCGTTTTTATCCAGAAAAATGGATTGGTACTTATTCTACAGTCCCTTGGCCGGCGCGGTCGCCTGATTTGACACAGTTGGATTTTTTCTTAGGGGATATATCAAAAACTTCGTATACTTAAATAACTTTGATGATGAAGAAGAACTAAGGGACAGTGTCATAGAAGCATTCAATAAAATAACCCCAGAAATGCTTAGTAATGTCTTAGAAGCAACTGTGAGAAGAGGATACCTTTGTTCAGAAAATATTAGCTATCATTTTGAACATTTGTTATGAGTGTTTTTGTAGGTATTGTCAGTTAAGTTGTTAAAGTAATTCGTGTAAGAATACATTTTAAGCGCTGCATTGAATGATGTAGTGAAATATATTTCATTCACTTCTCGGTATTGAATAACTAATCCATCAATGTTTGACACTAAATGATCAGAAATAAGTGGAACTGATGGCACTTTTCCTTTGGAAAGATCTTTTATAGTGATTAACAATATCACCTGATACAGAGTACTTACAGATGTTTATTTTCACAAAGATTACACATTTGAGAATATATAATGTGATATGACTGTTAGAATGCCTAATTCCTTGAATTGGCTTTTGCAGCAGTCAGTTCCATGTTTATTACCGAGGTAGGAAGAGATTAATTCCTTCATTATTTTTGATTTTTTGGGATTATCTGTCCTCGTTTCTATAAAATAAAAATATGGATATTATTTCAATATACGTGTAGTAAGGACAAATCAGATGATTTGCCCCAAAATGTCACTGCGTTTAAAGAATTCTCCTATCAGAGAGCCTAAAAGAAAAAATCACTAGCTTGTCTGTGACAATTTGTATTGATAAAGGTTTGCAGAAGAGAAATAAAGGTATATATAGAACATCAAAATGTCCCCCTTGTCACTTCATGTCAGTCATGTCATTCATTTGATATTTGACTTCTCATTAGTCTCTCTTTCCCGTCTGTCATAAACCTTCGGTATGATCAACAAGAACTATAAGATGGTCGTTAAATTTTCAATTTGTCCGTCTATTTTATTTATTTTTTCAACTATGTTCTTTTTTATCGCTTGAAGCGCACGGAAGGGAATTCCTATAATGTTCAAAGAACATCGCGCGTTCCTAGGGAGGATAGGGATAAGAGGTAGGTATTGGAATTTAAAAAAATAAAATTGAATTTTGTTGTAATATGTAAACATAATTGGTTCCTCCAGAACAAGTGAGTCTTTTTGAACTGTCGTTGTTGAAGTGTTTGTCTGACATTTCTTTTTATTTTTCTCTTACTTTAGTGCTCCTATGTAACTAAATGCTGATGATGAAGCTTTGAAGCTTCGAAACATGTTCCGTAATTCCGTAATTTGATTACAATAAAGTATAGTTTTGGTGGAGTAGACTGTAAGAATTTCGTCCTGTCCAATTATAGTTGATGATACAGTCCCAATTCATTGTGACTATTGACATAACTGTGGGTCGGTTTCATGAAGCATTCGAAAATAGCAGAAGATTTTATGAACGGCTAGGCTCTGGAATTCATTGCCTGTGGAAGTATTCTTAACAACATATAATCTCCAAAAGTTCAAAAAAAATTCCAATACCTACCTCCTGTCCCTATCCTCCCTAGGAAAGCACGATGTTATTTGAACATTATAGGGATTCCCTTTCGTGCGCTCCAAGCGATAAAAAAAACTCAACCTGATTGTAGATATAAGTTTACAAAAACTTTTCATAATAAGATATCACAGAAGAGATTTGATCAATCAATCAATTCAATTCATTGTTTTCTATAAAAAATATTCATCTGGCAGGAGATTTGGTTACAGTGCACTAATTATTTTTCAAAAAATATTTTATTGTGTAGTGGAGATTCTACCTATTTGAAAAATGATTATTGATAAAAGACAACCATTCCAATCAATATAATAACTTGATTTTATTTGATTATTTTGGATTTTCTCTCCCCGTTTCTATAAAATAAAAATATGAGTAGTATTTCAATATATGTGTAATAGGACAAATCAGATGATTTGCCCCAAAAATGTCAATGCGCTTATCAAACGTTTGTATCAGGGAACCTAAAAGAAAAATCCAATGACTTGTCAGTGACACTTTGTTTGGAATAATGTTTGAAGAGTTGAAATATAGATATATTGAAAAAATATCGAATTTTCACTTATCTTGGGACGTTTCGAGAACAAATCTGCTCCCGTTCTCAACATGAAAATGCAAACATATTTTTCTTCGAAAGGTGTGTTCTTATAGTTTGACACTTCTCAGTGACATACTGATCTTGGCATATGAATGAATGATGTTTGTATACAAATGATTTATATGATGTTTTCATTAATTGATCTTGAATTTACTATTTTAATGTTCAGTTTTCAGAAGTGAATATCATGTTCTATTTATATCAACTAAACAGGAAGCAATGCTATTGTCTCCGTTTAGAAGAATGCAAGCATATTTCTTTATTTTTCTCTTGATTGTTATCTCCCTTTCCTATGATATTAATATTATTCCACTTTGCCATATGTTGTCCATTTTTCTGTGTTCTTTCGTCCTTACTGAGAGATGTCTCTTCGTTTCACCTGTATAATAATTTCCACAAACACGAAAGTATACTATAAATACAATTTTTTCATGATTCTTCTTCATTTGAGTTAAATTGTATTTTCAGTTTTGAACACAGTTTTCACTTGAAACTTATCACCAACACGTTTTATTTTTTCAGATATGTACGGTATCATATCCGTCGTTATTGAGGGCTGTTTTTTTGTGGTACATTTTGTTTGTTTTCAATTTGGTGAATCGTTCTATCAATAAAGTTCTTTGGAATAATATTGAAATCATAGGAAAGGGAGATAGCAACCAAAGGAGAAAAATCAAGGAATCCGCTTCTGAACGGAGACAAGCGCATTGCTCCCTGTTCAGTTGATATGAAACTGAACATGAAAATGGTACATTCAAGATTAATTAATGAAAACATCCTGTAACTCATTTGTATACTTACATCACTCATTCATTTGCCAACATCAGTATGTCACTGCGAAATGTCGAACTATATGAACACATTATTCCAATTTTTTTCGGTTTTTCTCTCCTCGTTTCTATAAAATAAAATTATGAATATTTTTCAATTCAATTTCAATATCTATTGTTTGATATTATTATTATCTTTATTATTCCCAAGAAACATAATATGTTTATAGCAGAGAAAATTATATACGTGTAGTAAGGACAAATCAGATGATTTGCCCCAAAATGTTACTGCGTTTAAAGAATTTTCCTATCAGAGAGCCTAAAAGAAAAATTCACTGGCTTGTCAGTGACAATTTGTATTGAAAAAAGTTTGGAGAATAGAAATAAAGGTTTATAGAAAAAATAACAAATTTTCACTTATCTTTGGACGTTTCGGGACCGAATCTGCTCCCGTTTTTACCATAAAAAATGATTATTTTAATAGCAAAGTCGTATCTGTCTTGAAGCTTTTCAGTTTTCAAATGAGTTACAGGATGTTTTCATCAAGTAATCTTGAATTTACCATTTTCATGTTCAGATTTTAGTAGTAAATACCATGTTCTTTCTATATCAACTGAACAAGAAACAATGCTATTGTCTCCGTTCAGAAGAATGCAAGCAGAATCCTTGATTTTTCTCTTCTGGTTATTTTCTTTTCCAATGATTTCAATATTATTCCACTCTGCCATATGTTGTCCGTCTTCAGTAAGGATATGTTCAGCTAGAGAGAATCCCAAATAATCAAGTAAAATGAATGAACCACCTCCGCGATCAACTTACAGACAGTAAACTTATACTAATTTGATATGAGTAGATATCAGAGTGTTGATTAAATCTTATGTTATACATAAAACAAATTCAATTATAAATGCAAAATCAATGCTATCACTTGTTGAAAGCGTTGGATTTTAACAAAAAAATGCCTGAAATTGATTCAGTATCATAAACTCAATACACATGATGCAACACAAAATAAATATCAATGACCCCTTCGTTACTTATAAATGCGCGTAGTTTCAAGATAACTACAATAAGTTGAATAGTTTTTGGGTGTTCGATATTTGAATTGCATGATAAAGCAGAGGTTATCGCTCATTAGGGCAGTGATCTTATCCAATATCGGCAATACTACCAACATATTTCCTTTCAATAATTTGTTAACAGTGAATGTCCTAATTATGAAAAAATCATCCCAGTTATATTGACTGAAGGTGTAGCGAAATTACCAGAACATTGTAAACTGACACCTGGTGTTCCGTTGAAGCCAATGTTAGCTCACCCCACAAAAGGAGTACAAGAAGTTTTGCACAGGTTTGATGGATTGAAGTTCACTTGTGAATGGAAATATGATGGTGAAAGGGCACAGGTAATATTGCATTTCATAGTTTGCAAAATAGTATGTCTTGAAATAATTTTATTCTTTACATTATCCGGAAATATTGACCTTTCATATAATTCAAGTTAAAGTTTGGATGTGAGATATATCATCAAAGTTTGAATATTCACAAGATATTATGTATTATCAGAGTTTGAATATCCACAACTTTTTTCGAACTAGTCATTTCATATTTCAAGTTATGCTTATTCAAATTCAAGAAACACGAACCTATTCATGTTCGAGTCTATGTATGTTGATTATTGTAATCCTTTTTCAGAAGCATATTATTTTATTTCTTGAATACAAATCATGTCATATTACTATAATCAAAGTATTCTGAGTAGGTTTGTTTCAAAATTATCATGAATGTGTTTGCATCCTAGGGTTTTTTTCAGCTCACTGTGTGATTAATTATATAAAATTGTAGGTAGTATAATCCATTTTTTTTAGATACATATTGATGGAGATAATGTACACATATTCAGTAGAAATCAAGAAAACAACACAACCAAATACCCTGATGTTATATCCAGATTGAACCGCTGTAAAGTTGATGATGTCAAATCTTGTATATTGGACTGTGAAGCAGTTGCTTGGGATAAAGAGAATAAACAAATTTTACCATTTCAAATTCTCAGCACGAGAAAAAGAAAGGTTTGTGAACGAAAACTAGTAGTTTTTCTCCCCAATGACATCCTCTCAAAATAAAAATTGAACTACAAAAGATCCAAAATACTCAAAGTGAAATAAAATGTTGAAAGTCAGGAAAACTTTAATCTATTTTCACAAATGTTCAATATAATTATTATTATTATTTATTTATTTATTCTCATATGAATACATTTACAAAGACATACATATTCTAATATTATAAAAATTCTAAATTTTATCTACTTCACATAGGTTATTGACCTGTGTGTGAATTAGATAATTATTATAAACTTTTTGTAAAAAATTTTCAAGTTCTTAAAAATATTTAGATTAAATATTGATTATAAATTCAATATATACAAAGCACAAAAAAATTATTTGAAGAGATTATCAATTTCTTTTGCATTATCCAAAAACCAAATTTTAATTTTTTTTTTGAATGTTACAATATTCAAACGTCTCAATTTTGTTGGAACTCTGTTAAAAATTTTTGACCCAATAAAACTACTATGGTTTTGCATGATTTTGAGATTATGTTTTTCAAGTTGAACATTATCATTTCTTGTACAATAATTGTGACTAATTTTATTACTAAATGCAGTGTTTTTTTTCAAGAAATTCAATGATGCTTTATAAAATAATTGTTTGACATTCAGTATATGATTATCTACAAATATTGAGGATGATGGATAATCCAAAGGTTTGCGAAAAATTATTTTCAAAACATATTTTTGAATACTTAATAATGGTTTGAGATGAGTCTCATACATACCACCCCATCCAATGATTCCATATGACAGAATAGATTGAAAAAGTACATGATATAACATTATGATTAAATTTCTATTAACAATATTTCGTAAAAATCTGAATTTTGGAAGAGTACTTCTGAGCTTCTTAGTAATTTCTGAAACGTGATGATTCCACTTTAAATGTTGATCAATATAAATTCCAAGATATTTAATAAAAGCAACTTTATTTATTTTGTGGGTACATGAACAATTCATTTTTGATTCTTTGGATATATTTTTGAAACAGTTTATATCATGAATTGTCAACTCTGTTATATAATGATCATTAGTAGTGGATAACGGGAGTAGAATAATTACTTCTCTGGTTTATACCACGTAGAACATTGAATTGTATCCTCCTTTTATCTATGCAGCGATTCCGAAAAATAAATACTGGTTGCAAGTATTCCATTTAATCACTCCTATATTGTAGCCAGGTTTCTAACACTTGATAACAGACCGGCTTCGGGCTATTGGTCCTCATCAGGGCATGGTAGTTACCAGACTGCAGTCCGAAGAGACATCTGAAACAAAACCTGAATCATTAAAAAGCCTAATTGAGACACGGCAACATGGAAACAGCGTCATCTAAAGCAGAGGGAAAGAAACACTTCAAATTAGGAATTTCCATTCCGGTGAGAAATGAGAATGGTTGATTGCCTGACTGGCGTTATTTAAACTACAATCGGCAGTGTGATATAGGCACCGACATAACCTACTATTCAAACTACTATTTGTCATATCCCAAGAAGCCAAATATCTCATCCAAACTCGCCTGTAAACTTTTTCACTTGGTGTTCAAAAACAGGGGTATGAGTGTGTAACTTATATGACTGGTCCTCAATACTCATGCTCTATGGCATCTGATTCAATGTCGTATATGGGTGAGCGCTTGCTTTATGTTATTTGCGCTCTCGATAGTAGGCTATGTCGGTGGGTGTAGGTGCCAAGCGTTATCTGGCTATAATTTAAACACGATTTGGTATTCAGGAAAAAATCACTTGCAATCAATGTTCGTTAATACGAATTGTTGTATATGTAGATTTCAGGAGGGTGTAATTCAATGTCCTGCGTGATATTAGCCAAGGGGTATTATTTTTTCCTCTGTCTACCAGTATTGTTCATTTCAGTGAACATTATTTATTGAGGTGAGTTTTTCCTTACTGTTAAAATAAATCATCCACCCTCAGATTTCTTTTTTATAATATTTATATTTATATCTAGGGCGCCACCTATATCATTATAGTGGTAGGTCCGCTCTGCACGGGGCGATTAGCAGTAGAGAATGTATAAACCAGGGATCAAGAGATTCCAATTGTCAATTATAAGTTGCATTTAGTGATCCTCTTCTAATGAATGAAACAAACTCAAATTATATTTACCATGTATTCTACTTTTATTAACACAAGGCCTTAATTAACTGAAATATCGGGGAATCAGTCTCTCGGGCGTCAAAAAGGTAGCCTACTTTATTGCTTATCCAAACTTTCGAAAAAAAATTTTCTTCGTCAATGCTAGACAACAATATGGAATATGAAATAGGTTTGAATATGAATGAGAAGCAAAGACTCGCATGCAATGTGTGTTAAAATATGAAATAGAGATATTACAAAAGTCATGGAGTTTGTGTGCTGGAAGAAATGAAATTATGATATTACACTGTTTTTCAATATACAGGGTCCTGCATCTCACCTCTCGTCTTCTATAGCTCAGTTATCAGTTCAGTTAGAATCTTGATATTTTGCAGACTTCAATTGTCTCATAGGGCGCATACCAGAAAAATAATTTCGATTTTAAAGGGTGTCCCAAAAAAGTGTGACGTCATGATATATTCTTTTAAATGGCATGTCATATATTCTGTTGCACTTTTGAGTGCTTCCAGTGGTTACCTACATTCTTCGGAATTTTTTTGAAATCGGTCCAGTGACATTCACGTAAAATATAACAGAAAAATTTAATTTTGCACCACTGGTCAAACAAATTATAACAAAAAAGAGAATGCCTGCTCAATAGAATGATATAAGAGATACATATCGTTCGCTCCAAAAAGTATTTTAAATAATCCATTTTTGCACTGCTCAGTAACTGACCAAATTACATCCACGAAGATATTAGCAAAAATGTTCTTATTATAATAATTGACATTTTCCGGTGCGTCATCGAGCACTATAAACTGAAATATCTCAAAAACGGCTTACTTAAGCGAATTTTGTACCTTTTGTGCTTGAAATTATTCAGAATATAATTTCCTCAATAAAAATAGTGGAAAACTACACTGAGAAAAAAGTTATGGTTATTCTGAACCATAAGATGTACATTGGTGAGCGCCCTCTAACGGGCACAGTGAAAAGGTTTCCGTATTCGGGTTTCGCATCCCAAAAAGCTCCTGGCTACTAATTTTTCAAGTGATACGTTTAGAAATGTTCATACATTTTGAAAAATTCGATTTTTGTTCTTTAACTTCACCACCCTGTATCTCTGAAATGGAGCAATTTCGGACTGAGGTAAGTTGCTTTGAATCGGTTTATTTCAACCTGAGGAATATGTGCTGAGATTTTGTACAGACCATTCAGGGATACCCTGTACAGTTTATATGCACGACCCCCTAATACCCATTCCCTAAGTAAGCTTCTTCCAGGAAGTTGGAAAGCTATGTCGCGATGCTATGGTCAACCAGGAAGAAAATACGGTTTTCCTTCATCATTCTCGCGAATTCTTACAAAGCTTGGTGAAGCACATCCATGCGTCAAGCTTTCAATAAAGGAAACTAAATCCAAAGCTTGCAAAAACGCTGCAGGCCACACATTCAAGCTAAAGCGTTAAATCAAATCTAGTGATTCCTCTAAATGTCATTATAATCACATGGCCTCAAGACACCACCCGTTTGATATCCTGAACTGGAAATCGAATATGATTCGCTGAATCCAGACCAGTGATGTTCATCACCAAGGTGTATCTCACTGACGTCAGATAGGTGGTTTCTGTAAACTGAATATAATTCGCTGAATTGTATGGTAATCCCCTGAATACTTCGCCTCATAATCCAAATATAATTCGTTGATTATGAGCTAGACGTACCCTCTGGTGCATCTCTGGGTTGACCAACAGAATAATATACACCCCGAATATATTGAGAGCAAACATATTTTATTGTCCACAATTTCGCGCTACTGAGACGAAAGGTCAAATTTGATAATTTTTGTCGTGTCATTTGACCTCTTCCCACGGTATCTTCCTATCTGAAAAGAAAGTAAGAAATGCGCGTGAAGTTCCACATGAAGATTGAAATATTCAGGTCTGCTCAAGTCCTACCATAACTTGAGTTTTATTATTTGTTTACGTAGGCCATATCATTTTTTCATAATATTTTTGAGGAAACAGACCACAGCCTTCAGGGCTATCCGGCAAACTTGTGACTTTGACATAAACCTCATGCTCCAAGAACGCCAACTGTTGAAACTGAAAATGTTAGCCAGTTAGCCCTCATTCTAAAAATTGTTTTAAAATTGTTTTTGAAAATTGTTCTTAACCATCAATCGTTTCCCCCTTTACGAGCAACCCTCAGAAGTCTTTAAGAGACTCTTGCGAGCAGGGAATGACGGGGGTCTTACCTTTTAACTTGTGAGTACCAGAAAAATGTCTGTGGTCGTAGTAGGAATCGAACACACCTACCGGCAATCCAACGTGGATAGAATACTGACGCTTCAACCACGAGGCTACGCTCAATATATAGTAATCTGTCTGAACACTGCCCTGCAATCCGATTATAATTCGCTGAATGCAGTACGACGAGCCTTGGTCACCAACCACCCCAGTACATCACCATTACCCTTCGGTAGAACTGCAACACAAGACAGGTCTCATAAATACAGCGAATATCGGATCACCTAACTTAACTTACGATTTCAAGTTATTGGATTTCTCTATTTCACTTCTTGGCACAGCTAGGATTGTTTTCAGGCGGTAATTTTCAGAAGCACCTAGATATAGGATACAACAAATAAAGCCGCACGGCTCGCTAGAAGTGAGCGTTTGAATTTGTTTTGTAAATAAGTTTGCCAGAATTACGATAGTCAATACAGCAACGTACGTGCATATGGATTGAATGGTCCCGGGTTCTATTCCTACTCCACCTACTCTTTTATTTCGAAGTGGTGATTGGTCCCAGCGAACACTGGCCTGGCGTTTCTGGACACGATCATGGATATGGCTCTCCCCACTTTTCTTGGCGCGCGTCACAGTGGGAAAACGAAGTACGCGTCGATAAAATCAATTATTATTGAGTTTTTGATTGCTGACCGGTCGTTAGTGTCAAGTGACTTATCACAATGACGAATACGAATGATTTCGACCGGTTGCTTCACTGTTCAATCGATAATATACCGAAAATAGCACTCCACCTGACAGATATATACATGGTGTCCGGAAACGTCATGTCGTAAATGATATGGGCTGATAGAGTGAACCAAAATAATGTAAGTACTTCATATAAAAAAAACGATCTCACTTTGTTACGGAGTTATTGATCTTGAGCAAGTTTGTTCATATGCATACTCATGCATTACTCAACTCATACAAGGTGTTACTGAAGTTTTGAATACTGTCACAATAATGTAATGTCAATCATGACAATGACTGCAACTACCATGATTGAATAAATAGAGTTTTTGTTACCTTTGAAACGGTTTGGATGTATGTTTTAAAATGCGATTTTCTCTAGAAATCGATTAAATTAAGTATACTATTTTTGTAAACAAAAAAATATGGAGGAATCAAACGGTGGAAGCAAAATTTCAAATTTGCCACCTCTGTCAAAAATGCCTACATTTAACGAAAAAAGAAATCGTCTCATCCTTTTCACTGAACGACCGTTTACATATCGAAGGGAGCATTAATAATAGTATAGTAGATAGGGTTAATTTAGTTGCCCAAATATGATTGACCCATGGCAACCGTTCAAAAATTATACACGAATTTTTTTTTCAAACTCAAAGTCAATAACTCCGTAACGAAGTAGTGCGATAGACATTTTTTTTATGAAGTACTGTCATTATTTTAGCCCATTCTATAAGCTCTATCATTCACGACATAACCTTTTCGGACACCATGTATATTATATTTATCAGATGCTTCTTCTATTTCTGACATATGTATTATTGGCGTTAGGAAATAAGCGTTGTCACCTATCGGAGTTTTTGGAATTTCTAATATGAGTCAATAAATTCCTCAAGATAGATTTCGTAGATGGAATAATCATTTTGAACTGTAAACCAGAAATAATGCACTCGAGTGAATCATCCAGTGATTTAATGCTATTTTTGTTGAAATATAAGCAGTTCGAGTCACTCATTTTGAAGACTCTAGGTGCCCTTGCTTCGTTCTTGAGTAATCCGATTGTTTTGAGGTTATAATTCATATCCTTGAACCGCAACGAACCTCAAAAATCCCGTGCGATTCGGTCTTGAACGATTTTCAATAAAAAACGTTACCATTGGTCAATGCGTCATCATTCAAAAATCCTAGTTGTGGTCGAAGTGTGGTCTAAGTACTCGCAACCGGTCGGCAATCAACAACTCTCCTTATCATAAATAGTTATTTCTATCAGAATACTACCTTGGGCTCACAAGCTAATGACACGAATACTCCTGGTAAATTATATGAATTGATTACGAAAAAGAACGGTGTCGTCAGCTTATAACTTAACCAAGTTGATTTTGTCAATATTAATATGTGTAAAAAAATTATAGTAACTCCGTTACAAAATCCTATTCCACTATTATTCAATATTCTGGAACTGAAGGTTGGATTGAACGACCAGTTTGAATTCATAAATGAACCTCTCGAATTCGGTCAGTGAGTTGATCAAGGAGGTGAGGAAAATATGAATTTCTTTAAACTCTCAGGATTTTATCTCCTTGTCTCTCTAAATAGATATATTAGTATTAATTCAATACTTGTATTAAAGACAAATCAGATGATTCGACCCAAAATGTCACTGCGCTTAAAATGTGTATATTATTTTAACTAGGAACGTTACATTGTTACATGTTACATTTTCCAAAAAATACTTTCGCATGGCTAGGTGTGTCCGAGCTTGGCGCGGTTTCCCCACCTCGAAGACTATTTTTTTCCTCCTGTCTGTAGACGCTAGATATCATTAGTTTCTCTGAGAAGGGAACTAAAATTACCCATCTGATTCCTTGAGCCTGAAGTGAATTCTGCTAAGATACTACTTATAATTAACTGGTACTACATGTCTGATCAATTTGTTACATTGACATTGATACGTAATTAACTTGGTCATTCTCCTAAAAGTGCAAAAAATAATTTAAATACCATGGGATGGACTTACTCCATTTGCCGGTTGCATAAAGCATTTGATAGACGATTGAATATTCAATTTTTTATACCCATAGCAAAACATGCCTTAGCTAATAAGTAAGTAAAGAGGTACATGCAACAGGCTCTCGGAGGCAGTCATCAGATTCATCATACATTCATTGACGAATTTGGCATTCAATACATAGTGCTGAGCACACCAGACCTGATATAGTTACAAAAGTACAACTAGTACACCATCTTTTTTCAATTTGTAGGATGCAAAGGAAGCTGACATCAAAGTACAAGTATGTATTTTCATGTTTGATTTACTGTACCTAAACGGTGAACCATTGGTTAAAAGACCATTCCTAGATAGAAGAAAATTGTTAAAATCATTTTTCAAAGAAATTGAAGGAGAATGGGCTTTTGCAAAGAGTATGGACACTACAACTATGGAAGAAGTTCAGGAGTACTTAGAAGAAAGTGTCAAAGGTACATCAACATGTTATATTTTGTTGTATTTCTCCCCTTTTTTGTACTGTTAAATCCTTCCCTATAGACCGGCAGGTAGTGAAAGACTTTCGGACGTGTATATACAGGGTGTCCCAGAACAACGTACATTGAATTCAACAGGGTGAACTAGAGTTCAAAATAGGTCGATTGGGACCAACTTACCTCTGTACGAAAATGCACCGTTGGGCCGTGAGAGGGCGATGAATGGTTTTTTTATTGAATATTTCCAAATCCTTGAGAGGTAATGCTCTGAAATATGGAAGGAAGTCAACTATAAGAAGTGTGCATAGATAACAGGTCTCATCAGTTCAATCGATATACAGGAAGATACAAATTTAGCATTCTGATTGGAGAAAATCCATAGAACTTTTTTTGAGTACGCCACTGACAATATTTCAATATCTACTCGAATAACAAAATCAATTATCTATCTTTTTTCTCACTACATTTCTTTCTAAATTTTGCTTGGTTTACGAGATATCTGAAAAAATTCTCTGGAGTCCCTCCATATCACCCAAAAACTCCCTGTCAAGTTGAAAATGGGCCATCCTGTATGATGAAAAGGTTATTGAATAATTAACATGAATACGTGACCAAAATATCAACATGAAGGAGGAAGAAACCTGCAAAACACAATAACTCTGATATCTTGGACTATGGATGATATGGAGGGACGAAAGAATTTCTTCAGATATAAACCAAGCAAAAATTCAGAAAGAAATGTGGTGAGAAAAAAGATAGATAATTGATTTTGTTATTCAAGTAGATATTAAAATATGGTCAGTGGCGTACTCCAAAAAAGTTCTATGGATTTTCTCCAATCAGAATGCTAAATTTGTATCTCCCTGTATATCGATTGCACTGATGAGACCTGTTATATATGCACACTTCTCATAGTTGACTGCCTTCCAAATTCAGATCATTACCTCTCAAGGATTTTGGAATATTCAATAAAATCTGAAAAAAAAAAATCCATTCATCGTCCTCACACGGCCCAACGGTGCATTTTCGTATAGAGGTAAGTTGGTCCCAATCGGCCTATTTTGAACTCTAGTTCACCCTGTTGAATTTAATGTACGTTGTTCTGGGACACCCTGTATTTTGATGTTTAAAAATGATACATGAAATAATTCTCCCGGGGCCTTAAGGCATACCGGTTGCGTGAGCTCAAAAGGCAATCACGGTCAGGTGTAGTTGCAAAAAAGAAATCATTTTCCTCGTTTTCAAACAGGCTGCCTTTAAGAAGTATACCTATTTGTGCTATACATGTTTGTGCTATACATATGCTATGGAAAATATGGCATACCGTTTGCGCATGACCAAGTACACCTACACCTTGAAAATATGCTTTAATTGTAAATTCTTCTAAAATTGTTCTATCCGTCATTCGGTTGCTCCCTTACGAGCAACCCTCAGAAGTCTTCGAGAGTCTTGTGCGAGCAAGGAATGACGGGGGCCTTACATTTTAACGTGTGATCCCAAACACTTTCTTGGGCCATCAGAAAAATTTCTGCAGTCGCGGGGAATTGAACCCACGATCGGCAAGCGAATGTGGATTAGAATACTGACACTCTGTCAGCACGGCTACTTCCCTGCATGAAGAACCCGGAAGGATTCATTTATGTATCTTTTTTCAACATCAAAATATATACATAATGATACCGTCCGAAAGACATACTGGGTGTAATCACGTCCGAAAATCAGTCACTACCTGCCGGTCTACTGCCAAAACTGGTATGTGATAACAAGTAGCAGTACAAATTTTATAATCAATGAGAGCTAATGATTGTTATTGTCAATATTACTATATTCACATTTTTTTTTCGCTATCAAACTTGAGCTATGATCAAAGATAAGATGGCATTGAAACTGTGTATAAGTGAATTTATTAAGTGATTCTGGAACTAAACGTCTACAGTGTACGACTTGTACGAGATGTAGTAGGTACTCGACGAGATCTATCAAATTATACGGACATGGATAATTTTTGGTACATTATAATAGTCCAATTTATTTATCAAATATGCCAAGTTCCACCTCAATCATATGTCTAGTTTTCCAGATACAGGTGCTGAAGTCCATATCTCTAATAAAGGACATATGAATGAATATCAATTCGTATTCAATATTTCCCAACTATCATTTTCAGTCACAGGAACAGGGCTCCAGAAAGTGATACCAATTTAATAACTTCATATCAGAAATCTCTGTGATAGTCATTAACTGAGGAAAATGGGCTTATTTTTTTGCTATACATAATAATTTTGAAGTGTGGAGCCTTATATGGTTCTTCTCAAAGTGGTTATTCCGAAAGCACCATTTCTTAAAACTATTTTAAAGTTTTAGTAACTGAATAAATTTTTTGGTAACCCTTACCCCCTTAATAGAGCTTAACTGTAGTAGTTAATGAGGGTTTCTACGACGTTGTTGTTACTTCATTCATCACTTTCAGATTGAATAACATTTTTGGTCATATTTGGCGTATGATATTGGTAATGTCCACTTTATATACTCATTTCAAACGCCCCCCACTCAATATCTCAGCTATCAGTCGTGTATCGGTATGAATAATCATCAATATGACCAGTTCTTCAAAGACAAACATCATTCTAGACAGTGCCGTGCATTTTTATTGAAATGAATAGGGGTCAGTTTTTTATTAAATCATATTAGGCATTTTTTCACAGGAAAACTGACCTCATAATATAGTTCTTCATGGTTTCAAACCCACATATATGGATTTTCATGAGATGCCTATGAAGGGTTTCAGAACAACAGGCACATCTAAATAGCATTTTTGCGAACTTAATAATTATTTTCTTGGAAACGGTGAGTTCAACATAAAAAAGTATAACTCGTTCTTCCTTCCAGATCATGATTTTCCATCCATCGGAGCCATTGAACGTTCCGAAATTCGTAGTTGATTTGAAGTCACTATTTTTTCGAGACTGAAAATGAAAACAAATTTAGCCAATCCTGTTAATTCGGAATTAGTTGATTTTTCGCATATGGAGGTGCGAAAGCATGAGGAACAATAATATGAGGTTAGATTTCCTGTAAAAAAATGCCTTATATGATTTTATGAAAAATCGACCCCTTTTTAGTTCAATGAAAACGCACGGCACTGTCCAAAATAATGTGCATCTCTGTAAAACTGATAATATTGATGGTTATTCATACCACCCAAATTTGGTTGGAATCGCATGACTATTAAGTGAGATATAGAGAGGGAGGGAGCGTTTAAAGTGAGACACGCTGTATATAATATTCCCTATGAGTAAATATTACTTTTGGGCAGAACACTCGTGTCACCTATTCTAGGTTGTCATAACTGAAGAGTCTCAAAAGTTACTTTTGAATTCAATTTCCATTGGAAGCCATTGATTTCAGTGAGATTAACTCAAACCGAATTGAATGTTAGTTGTTGCTATTGTTGTACATCTTGAAGAACAATAGAATCATTCGTTCAATAACAAAGATCAAAATACTGTAATTCAGCATGATTTACAATGGATTTTGAAGCTTCAAATAAAATAAAACTACATTTTCGTTGAAAAAAGCTGTAGTTTGTGGGCGCATCATGAATTTGGAGACAATCATCACATTTGTCAATAAACTGACTGTTTTTATTTTTCATGTACGAGTATCAACTATTTCGCGTGTTCAAGTTTGCAATTATGTTTTTGAGTTTTAGCTACGTTGGCAAATCTTGATATTTACTCGTGAATTGTTTCCCATGTTAGTCATAACTGCGTAGTCGCTACGTATTTATAACGTATCAGCAACTTTTATAGTTGACCCAATAGTCGTCATTACCTACGCAATCGCGACTATAATTACTGCTAGTTTGGTTTCCGAAAAACGCAATAATAATTGTAATGTGAATTACCCTGAAATGATGACCAGTCTCCGTCGAATCTATTGGCTGTTGTACCCCTAAGGCATAATAAGAAATTAGAAGAATTCTGTAAACTTTGTCCTCAATATGTCTCATGCACATCGCTATAACACCTTCGATTTTTTATATGCTACTTCTCTGCAGTTTTTTAGGCTCATCGCGGCTTGTCTTTCAGCTGTCACTCATAAGTTAGCACGACGTTGCTTCACTTGAGACATTGAACGATTCAACCCTCTTTATTCCTCATGTTAAATCATCACATTTCACGTTATTTGAATACAATCAATAAGAACACACGTTATAATGTCCTAAGTAGTCCTCAGATTTCGGCCACTGGGCGCGCTATGTTCTAGGACTAGGTCCATGTCGAACGGTCCAATTTGATATGCTTTCAAAATATAGATGATATAATTATATATCCTCCTTTTTAAGGTAATTGCGAAGGATTGATGGTTAAAACTCTAGAAACAGATGCCACTTATGAAATTGCAAAAAGATCACATAATTGGTTGAAACTGAAGAAAGACTATTTAGAAGGTGTTGGAGATACTTTGGATGTAGTTGTGATTGGGGGTTACATTGGCAAAGGAAGGCGAACAGGAACATACGGAGGTTTCCTTCTTGCTTGCTATGATAAGGATAATGAAGAATATCAGAGTATTTGTAAGGTATTGTGAAATTTTTTAATTCCTGTTTTGTGTTTGGCTAATTTTTCCATTCCTCAGTTCTACAAGGTGGCTCAAAATCGAGTAACCGATTTTTTCTTCGGGTAAATGGAGATCCATTGGAAAACCATTTTCTGTGAATCATAAATATTCATTTGAATATTGAGTACACACCAAAAATAATAACCAAACTACGTCCCTAGTATTATTGCAATAGTAAACACATTTTCCATTACATTTTCCAATATTTCAATGTGCAATGTTTTTGAAGAATTCAGGTTTATTTACAGACAACATGTTATTGCATTGTATTAAATAATAATAATAATAATAATAATAATCGTCTTTATTGAATAATCGGTTGAGTACGAATGCACATACAGAAATGTGGAGGCGAAGTTTAGCATGATTGCTATTCTTACACTTAACCTCTATGTTATTAATAACAAGAAATGTGTATATCCTCCGGTGTTCACCGGAATGATCAACACCACCTATACTATCTATAATAATACTATTAACCTATATACTATAATATTATAATCATGTATTAGAAAACCTAATTATAGACATTAACAAAAATGGGAGAATCATTAATCATATAACATTGACATGCGGTCAAAAGAAGAAAAAAAAGCCAAAAGGGTGAACTATTGTTGTTCCGTCAGCAATTTCATCTTGACTTTCTTTTTGAATGTATATATATTGCAATTCTTTATATCTGTACTTATTCTATTATACAAATCTGCAGCAAAAAAAGAAAACCCTTTTCGGAAAATGGCTGTTGAATGACGGGGAATATTGAAATTATCAGGGAATCTAACATTGACAGCGTGAATGCTCCTTCTGGGAATTAACTTCTCATGTAAATAAGTGGGCATACCACTCTGTACAATCTTTCGAATAAATACAGAATATTGGGCGGTTCGCCGATTAGCCATATTTAACCATTTCAGACTATTGATTTTTTCAGAAATATGGTCATATTTTCTCAAACCAAAAATAAATCTGCAACAGGAATTCTGTATTTTCTGGATCTTGTTTCTTTGAGTGGTGTCTAAAAATGGGCCATAGACGTAACAACAATAGTTGAAAAAGGAGAGCACTAGCGTTTCTGAGAGCATGATTTTGAGCTTTTTATCCAAGATCGATCTGTTAGTATACAATAATTTCAAATTACAGAATGCTTTTTTTGTGATAGATTTAACCTGACTCCAGAATTTTAGATCATCATCAATGAATATACCTAGGGACTTCACAGTTTTGAAGTATGGAACAGGATCTTCGCCAATAGTAATGCTCAGTTGACTTTGGAAATGCCTCATCTTTTTATTACCGAAGAGTGTGTACATAGACTTTGACGCATTCAACTTCAAATTATGTTTATCTGATAGCAGCCTTATATTTTCCAAATCGGTATTAATTTTATATTCGGCTATATGATATTCGTACGGTGCAAAATGATATAAAAGTTGAGTATCATCAGCGAAACTTTGAACAGAGGCATGTTCTATTTTATTCATTAAGTCTGCAGTATATATAATGAAAAGCAATGGTCCCAAGATAGACCCTTGAGGGACACCCGATGTTATACTCCTGGAAGATGAAACTTTGCTATTCATCGCTACCTTTTGCTCACGGTTAGACAGATATGACTCTATGAACTTCACGGCATTAACAGAAAATCCATAATATTTTAGTTTGGCACATAGTAGATTGTGGTTTATAGTGTCAAACGCCTTAGAAAAATCAAGGAGGACCAGAATCGAAACAAAATTTATATCAGAGGCTCTGACAACATCGTCCACAATGTTAGCTAGGGCAGTTGCAGTACTATGTCCTTTTCTGAAGCCGGACTGTGTAGTAGGCAAAAGCTTATTTTCTGTCACATATTCTTCAATTTGCTTGTATATGACCTTTTCTAACAGTTTCGAGATAGTTGTTAAAAGACTTATTGGGCGGAAATCTGAATAGGAAGATGGAGTGGTTACTTTAGGAATGGGCTGTATGATTGAGGTCTTCCATTGCTCAGGAAAAAAATTTGCCTCAATGCAAACGTTGACTATATGAGTTAAGTACGGGCCGATGAAAGGAATGCAGTATTTTAGCATTGACAAAGTAATTCCATCAGATCCGCACGCATTAGACTTAATACTGAGTAAAGCATTAGTAACTTCCTCAGTGCTAGCAAGTCGAAACTCGAAAACTTCAGGAAGAATGCTATCTATTTGATTATAATGGAATACAAAATCATCACAACTTTCCCTCTGAAAAACCGAAGCAAAGTATTTATTCATTTCATCGGCATCCTGTAAATTATTTGGGATATTATTGTTTTTTCTTGTTTTTATGTTCAGATCTCTCAGAGTATTCCACGTATTCCGACTATTCTTTTGATTCTGCACACTAGAAACATAATTCTTTTTCTCAGTGCGGATAGCTCTCAGGGTCATATTGCGTAGAGCTGTGTAGTTATTCCAATTTTCTGCAGTTCTATTTTTTTTATATCTCCTCAAGGCGGTGTCTCTCTCTTTCATCATCATTTTCAAGGCATACGTAAGCCATGGGGCCTTAGGCTTGGTAACTCTTACTGTTCTTAGCGGAGCATGTTTATTAAACAGACTAAGAATATAGTTTGTGAACAGATGGACTTTGTCACTAATATAATTAGCACGTATTACATTATACCAAGGCATTCTTATTAAATCCTCGTAAAAAGGTTGATAGGTGAAATTTTTGAAATCTCTATAGGTGACAAATTTTGGTTCAAATTTATTTATCGATATTTTAAGTTCGCAGGAAGTCATGCAGTGATCCGAGATTTCATCAGCACATAGAACTGTAGACCTAGTGAAAATTTTCCTGTCTGAAATGAATATTGGATCCAGTAGATTACTGCTAGTAGCTGTAACTCGAGTGGGTTCATCAATGACTTGACTGAATCCATAGCTTTCGAAACATTGTGACACTGGATTATTGTCTGTTGAAAGATTGACATTAATATCGCCCATACAGATGATATAATCAAAAGCTGGAAATATAGCCGAAAGCATGTTGTCCAATTCGTCCACACAGGCGCTAACGGTGGTACTGGGCGATCTATAAAATACGCATATGGCAACAGACATTCCACTTAATTTACAACTGACCCATAAGTATTCTAAATAATTCGTATTTACTCCAGTCTCCAGAATGTCAACTATAATTTTATCACTTATGTATAATGCCACACCACCCCCACGCGATGGACGATCTTTCCTAAATAGATTGAAGCCTTGTATATTGAAAGAATTCAGATTTGTATTAGCTGAAAACCATGTCTCTGTAATTGCTACTATATCAAATTCATTCATTTTGATCAATTGAACCAGTTCAGTAAAGCCAGTAGACAGTGACTGGGCGTTTAAATGTCCAACCTTCATGATTAGTTCATAGAAGATGAGACGAAAAAGACAATAATTAATTAATGCAACGTAAAATTATTAGAGAAAATGAATACATTACCTAAATGCTAACAATAAATCGAAATACATTTCAAAACATGATCTGTTATAGCAAGATAAGGAGAGAGAATTACAAGTAATATTATATGGAGAAAGGAAAAATAATAAATGAACTTAAACCAATACTTCAGTTCGGAAGACCTGGATTCGAGCCCAAACGGCCGCGGGTCGCTACTCGTGAGGATGTAGCACTTGCTGCCGTGTTTTGTGATTTTTTTGTTTTTGAAGGTTTACCAGGTTTGAAAGTGTCTTCTGGTTCACGAGCATCCACTGGATGACTGGGCTTCTTCTGCGTGAGGAATAGATTCGCCAGTGGACTATTTGCTTCTATAGGATTGCTCGAAAGGCTGCTCACTTCTGGTTCGGTTTGTTGAACAGCTGATGAGAGATCTTCTTCAATACTCAAAATATCGACTGTGAGCGATGCAGGTTCACTAGATACTAGGCGGACTGCGGGTGGTGACCAATGAGTCAGGTGCTTGTTTCTCAATAAATCATCATTATACACCAAGGGTGAGATGTGCGCTATTATATTGTCACGAGTGGGTTCTAACCCCCACAATCGTAACTCGAACTTACTCGCTTGCAAGAGGTTTTATGGAAATTATAATGAAAGAATTTACCTTCACTTTTTTTCTCTTTCTTTCTTTCTTTCTTTATAAATCCCAAGAAACATTGTAGTTTATACAGGGTTATGATATAACATAAAATTAAATATTTAACATGATAGGTATAAGAAAGATAGATATAATATGATATATGATATGTGTATGTGTTATTATGAATATAAATTCTGAAATAATAAACAATAGCATTAAAAATATGCATAATAACCGTCTCACATTTACAAAAAATGGAGTTATAGCCGTCATTGCTTAGACTGAAATATCAACATCTTTTATTTATTCAGATGTTCATTTTCATTAAAGGAGCAATGCTATTGCCTAAACTATTTTAAAATTTGGTAGATCATGACAATAATATCGTGAAGTTCAGCAGCTTTATAGAATATTATTTCATGCAACGATCATGTATTAATAGTCATTACATGATCGTTATACAGGGTGTTTCATAATTGAATGCTGATCCTAAAGGGCGATTCCCCAATATCTCTGAAACCACTCTGGCTTTTTTCTTCATCACAAATACTTAAAAATAGTTATCATAAAATTATGAAAATATTGCTTAGATCTTTTGGTTACCACAATTGTGAAATTATGACTAAGAGTAAAAATCGAATAGAGACAAGCAAATGAATGCATTTTATTTTCTAACTCAAAAACCGTTCGCCAGAAGAAAAAAGACAAGAGACCATTTTTATGAGAAGATAGAGGATAATTACAAAAATAATATTTATTTGGAAAAAAGACAGTGGCGTATCATTATTTTGATGAAAAATATGACAGGGTATGTTAACAGGGACGCCACTGATGAAAATTAAGAAATCCTTCATAATGGAAAAAATGTATTTCTATTCATACTTGGCATGTACCAAACTTG